ATTATTGTTTATGTATCTTAAATACTCGGCTATATATATTTGTATATTTCTATAACTTTATTTTTACTTCATTTATTTTTGAATTAATATTTAAACCAAGTTTTCTAATTTCTTTACATGTGCCCCAAAAAGTAGGCAATACTTTTTGTGTGAGCCAACTTAAAGAAAATTTAAGTTTATTTGTTTCATGTTGCTTCCGTAATGCATGAAGTATTTAAGCGACTTGTATTTATTTATATTTAATAAAAAAATAACATTAAATTATTATTAAATGGAAACCTTAATTACTCAAGACATTTGTTACACACTTTTATTGCACAAAAGAAATGATATTTGGCATAACATTTTGCATTAAAAATAAGGTAAAATTATTTTATTATTTTTAGCTGCATTAAACTTTCATTTTTGTGAAATATCATTTTAATATTTTATACAGTAAACCCTAAATCTAAAACCAGTTTGGCTGACTTTTTAGCGAACGACTTTCATTTGTGGTTTTGTTACGCGCTTTCCGCTCGCAATGCGGTCCCTTTTCACCTTTTTGGCCCACATTCCCGCCATTTTCCCGCCAAGTTCGCCACTTGGCCCCGTTTCGGATGCTTATTTTTGGCCTGGGAACGGGCATAACTTGCAATTCCTGGCCGGGGTCTGGCGCACCGTAGACATTCCTTGGCTTTCGCCTGGCTGGCGTCCGGGTAAATGTTAATTAAGCATCATTTACGCATTCAGGCCGCCATAATTTGCAACGACAATGACACTGACAGCGCCACAATGTTGCGACAACTTTGACAAGCCCGCCAGCCAGGACACAGAAACACACAGAAACATTCGAGCATTCGCAGGATCTTTCCCCATTTCCCCATTCTCCTTTTCATTCCCCAACTCCTTTTCCCCATCCCCTTTGCCGTTCGCATTTACCCATTTAGCACTTTGCACCGCCAACGAAGCTCTGTCACTCGGCACGCAGTCAAATTTAATGTAACATAAAAGGTTTTCCATTTCATTTTCCATCCTCCTTAATGGATATCTGGAGCGTAATGGTTCCATCAAGACAGCCGCAAATATCCCAGCCATTGCAATTGACATTTGTGCGGAGGTCTCGCACGGAAAGAAATCGGTTAATAAGCAGCTTAACGTCGCCTTCGAGTAAAAGGTAGAAAAGATTAAAAATAGTCCAAGTGAATTCCTTTTGCTTGGCTTACATGGCGTATGATTGATTATGATGTGCATTACTCATACGCAGTGTTGAGCATGGTAAAACTACCATCTATTTTAATGCTATTAATAGTGTAGTTGAGAATAAGAATATTAAACATTATTTAATTTGGATCACATGGCGTATGATTAATTTATGATTAATATTGCTCATACGCACTGTTGATAAGTTTTTAGTTATATTTGAACGATTTTCTTTTTATCTATTAAATTTATCTAACAAACTTATAAATTTGTAACTTGAATCCCGTGATAGTATTCCACACAAACAATAGGAAATCCAAGTTGATAACTCCCTGTAACCTACCTCATACCTTAAGTTGCCATTAAAGCAGACTGTACCTGTATTAAAATGGCTTAACAAGCGAACTGCTGCCTTATCCTTTGCGGCAATCTGCCGTTGTTTCCATGTCCTGGGAACCTTGGCCAACGATCCTTCTTTTGTGCGACGACTCCTGCTGCCATCTGCTCGTGTCCACTTATCTGTCACAGACAATGGACAATGTGGCCGTGGATTAGCTCAGCCAAACGGTTATTTAGCGGCATCCAGAGGATTGCCATTGCTCCGCTGGCCAAATGTCCCTCCCTCCCTTCCCTCCTCCCCCCGCTTTCCCATTGGGGAGTCCCCAAAATGTGGCCACAAAGCGGCCGGTGAAGTGCGCCCAACAGCTGGCCAACGAAATCCAGCGATGGCCAACAATATCCAACGACGGCCGACAATGGCAACGGCCAACACAGCAACAAAGAGCAACAAAAAGCAACAAATCGCCAACTGTAGAAACAAAATAATAATAAAGACAAGCAGCAGCGTGGAATGGTGGGGCACAAAACCAAAATAGCAAATAAAATTGCACAACAAAGATGAAAATGAAACGAATGCAGGAGACGAAGACAATGGAAGAGGAGCCAGGGAGTCGTGCGAAAGAATTACGTTAAAAGCCAAGACTAACGATGCCAGGAGGCTGAAGAAACGATCTAGTAATACCCTAAAATCAACTGTGAAAAGAGATATTAAAAAACCATATTTTAAAACAAGGTTAAAATTTTTGTTAGATGGGTATCACAACACAAAAATTATTTTATTCTAGAACACTTATATTTTCGAGTTCGTTTTTAAGTTTATACTATTTTTCTATCTATTAGTTCTCTAAGAAATACTTTTCTTTCCCTTACTTCTCAAAAGAATACTCTCAATGGTACACAAGCAAATAAGAAGAAATAATTTTATAAATAATATTTCATTGATTGGTTAGAAAGTTTGTTCAAATATACACATATTTTGTATACGTCATTGTAACTAAGGTCAAACCTCTTGGTTGTTTGCGTCAATATATACCCTAAAAATGCGTATTTTCCAGGGTATCACTGATAAAGTAAAGGGCCACGCTCTGGGCGAAAGTCGCGCACACATTTCTCACACCAAATGCAAATAAAACGACGCCTTGGAATTGAAATAGAAATAGAAAATTGCCGAACAAAAATGGCAGCATAAACTTTTGCTGTTTGCCACTTCCGTACGTCATTCGTTCTCCTTTCACCTCCCTTTTCTTCGCCGGTCGTAACTCTCTCTTACAAACGCGCACACACACAAAGACACGCACACACCAATAAAGTAACGGAGAAAAACACACAGGCGAAGGAGAAAGTGGCACACATACTCGTACGCACAGAAGTCTGCTGCTTGTCGACATTTTGGTAATAAATTGAGTTTTATGGCAGTCATATTATTCTTTATTAGTGGGTAAGAATTGTTGCCTTTTGTTGGCTTTTGTTGCCGAAACGATGTCTCAACCAGGCCAACATTCTCGGCCTGAGTTTCCTGAGTTTTCCGAGCTCTCGGCTTTAGCCAGCTGGATGGATATCACCCGTTCGATTCCGAAGTGGCTCCTGTGCGGCTTAATTAATTTGCCAGTGCCGAGGACCTTGTCACAAAAAGGATGAAGACCGCGCAACTCCCAGAAGAAAAAGAAGCCCGCCAGTCGAATCAATCAACGACAGCGGCTTGTCCCTCGTATTTACTCTTTCATTTCCCCAGAAACGTGGCTAGTAAATCAAAAACTCTCATCCAAAAATCGTAATTTGGCGTTAAATTAGTCTCGGCGCTCGAACGTCGCGGGAATACTAATCAGGTCAAGGCGACCGCCGAAATGGGATAATCCATCAATCGCACAGCGCTTTTTCCCCGGCTGTCAACGCGGGCCGAATTGCTTTTTGGCAATGCCAAGCCCAGTCACAAATTAGCATTGCCTATGGTAAGCAGATATTTTACAAGGGAAAAGCATTGCTTCGCATTAAATCAAATTTAATGAATGAATAGATGTTTTAAAACAAATCAATCCGTAATATTATTTACCAGAATGCCAAGGGAAAAGAAGTACATCGAAACTAAACAACTAACAGAAAACTTATATTATCATTAAATGTAACTTGATTTTTAATAATAATTACAATAAGGGTAGAATAGGAGATAAGCAAATGTAATAAAAATAAATGTGAAAATTATATGAAAAATATATTCCTTTCATAAAAAAAATGTATATATTCAATTTTAAATAAATTTGTACTACTTAGTAGTAAATAACATAAAACTAAATCCAACACAAAAATATTATTTTTAAATATAAACAAACAAAATTATTGCTTACACATAGAAACAACATAACTTTAAAGCTTATATCTTACAATTTTTCTTTTTTGTCTTACCTCGTTTTACTTTTTAGTGTATATCCGTATCACCAAGGCCATTCAATTAGCAATCAGGGAGAGTCTGTCACCTCCTCGAACCTGATGATCCATGAAAAGCTCAGAGAACGGCGGCAACTTTTGGCTTATTTCCGGGAACTCGAGCACTCGAGTCCTGAGTCCTGGATCAGAAGAGGAGCCACAGAGCTGTGCATAATGCTCGCTGCTCGGTGCTCAGTGCTCAGTGCTCATTCCTCAGCGCTTTTGGCCGTGTAATTTATCATCCTCAGTTCCAGCCCGCGAGGCTGTCGGCCAAAACCAGCGGGCGGCACTCCACTTTCGGCCAAGTGGAGTGGGCCAAACCTTTTAGGCCATCACCAAGTGGCCTTCGAGGGAAAAGGGAAAAAGGGAAGAGGGAAAAGGGAAAGAGGGGAATATACGTCGGCCAATGATTAATTGCCAGAATGTCCATTTGAGCAGAAAATTCACAAAACATTTCCATCATCAAAGCGAAACTGATTTTCCAGTGGAAAAGTGAGTGCTGTCAACGAATGAATCGTTAAGTCGGACAGCTCCTCTCAATCCAGATGCACGAATAGTGTCCTCTGACAGCTTGAACTCAAGTTATTTCCCTAATTGCATATATAGTTTATTTGCCAACACATCTCCTCGTTGCTAATTGCACATTTCGAATTTCAATTCCTTTAATTGCAGCCCATTTGATTACTTTGGTTTTGCCGTTCCAAATCACTTCTCTGGTGAAACAAAACAACACCAATCGAATGGAAATTCGGTAAGCAAACAAGCTTAAAAGTTATTTCAACAAATAGGAAGCGAGCGGCAAGGATTAAGCTCTAAGGAAATTATTCTTGCTTCATACTACAAAAATTAAAAGCAACTCAATCATTGAAATGCATTTTCTGTTTACTGTTGCTGTTTGTTTTAATTGAGATGTGTAATTTAAGCAAATAAATACAGGGAACGAAAAATAATTTTTATTTTATTTATTTACGTACTGTTTGCCCTGTATAAGTTTCTTTTTTTTTTAATATAAATTACTGGTTGTGTAAACATCTATTTTCCAAGATAAAATTGCCAAAACAGTCTGGCATTCCGTAAAACAAAAATCGGATAGAAACTCGTACCAAGTCAAAATTTCAGGCTGTTTAGATAAGTGTTTGGAAGAAATCCTGATGCCACCACTCGAGGAAAAGGCGGTTAGGGCGGAGGAGGCGTGGCCGTTGGATGCCCAACTTTATCAACCGCCCGAAAAGAACCAACTTTTGCTGGCAGAAAGCGCCAGTTGTTTGGCTGTGAAAACCTATCTGCGCATGTGCAACCTTCCGTTTTCGGAGCGAGTTTGCGATAATGCGGAGTTTATGTCGCCCGGAGGTCGCCTAACCCACTTGCCACTCCTTCGTTTGGGCCCAGTTAAGACTTTTGCGGAATTCGAACCGATTGTTGAACAGGTGGAATCGATGCGGGCGGGGAATTCGTTGAGCAGCTGGATGTCCGAGGATCAGCGAGACGATATGCGATGTGTGCTCAACCGAGTGGAGAACGTCTTTACACTGGCCGAAATGCACATGAGCTACGTGGACACGATTAACTATCAACTGTACACGGCTCCGCGAACTGGAGCAGCTCATCCCTGGCCATTGAGCATGATTCGTCGGCTTGCCAAGCAGAAGGACGCCCACAAGATCCTCCAGGTTTACCAGTGGCAGGATATGGACAACGATGAGGTGCTCCACCAAGTGGGATCTTGTGTGGACTCGCTGATTTCGCAACTGGAGGAGCATCCGGCGGAGGAGTTCCTCTGTGGCCCGAAGCCTTGTGAGCTGGATGCCTTGGTCTTCGGCCATGTGACTGCCATCCTGACCACCAAGTTGCCCAACATGGAACTGGCCGAGATCCTGGCCACCTATCGCCGTCTTTTGGCCCACTGTCACAGCATCGATTGGAATCTGTTTGGTGGATTACTCCTGAGCGGCGGGGAACGGGAGGAGCACAAATAAAATTAAGAAAAGACAGGACACAACCATCTCCTCTTCCCCTTTTTCCCCTCTTCAGTTCCCCCGCAGCCGGAACAAAGGATTCTTATTGTTTTTTTATTTGGCCAGGGGTCGGGAAGCCAATCAAAAATATGCAAAGCATTTACAATAAAAATGGCAGACAAGCCGGTGGAGTGGGCTCTTTTTTATAGGGAGTGGCGGAGCCAGTCGAGCCGGAGATAAGCCAGCCCAGAATGCCATAAAATACAGCAACAGACAAGGCATACACTGCGAGAAAAACCCATTGCACAACTTATAGTTAATACTTAAATTAATAAAGCTACTTTGGAAGCAAAACTGCAATATTAAATGAACTTTTATTTACGAATTAATAGCTGTCAACTATTACTTATTTAGAATATTCTATTTTTTAAGCTCAAATTATTAATGATAATAAAAAAACAACATTAAAACAAAAAGCCTGCGTTTTTTCTTTAAATACACGTTTTTTTTCCATATCATCCAACATTTTTTGAGCAGCCATGCCATAAAATTCTTTAGTTATTTATATTATTTTTTATAAACTTGAGCTATATGCAGAGCATTAGAAACAGGAATATATGAAGCTTTGTTTTCTTTAAATGACCATAAAATAAATAATAAATCATAAAAAGGAGACTGCAAAATTGAAATGTCATAAAATATTATCAGTTTAAAATGAATAATTTACTTTTATAAAAGAGCCAAAATTTTGTCTGCTCTAAACAGCAATTGAAAATCAATTTCCGAGTGTAGCAGGCAGTATTTTCGGCTCGGGCTGGCATTCAATTTAAGTTGGCCCTCGACTTCAAGGTAAGGACACCCGGACACACATAAAATGTCAGTTCGATTTTATGACTGGCCCAAAGTCACCAATCCACAGTGGTCGGGCTTGTATGGAACCGCGGCCATAAATACTTCGAGATGTGCTATCGCTATGAAACTTTCACAAAAAATCTATAAAAATATTATAAATATATTATAAAAAAATTGACCGGATCATACCACTATATCCTATAGCTTCCATAGGAACGATTGAATCAGTGGTGGCGCTTTGATGAGAGAGCAGTCCTAAAATCACTTCTAATGGTCAGATCAGGGTAATATTTATACTGTAAGTTATTTACAAGCATAGAACTATGTTATAATAAAAAAAATTGGAGCGATTGCTTAACTCCACTCCCACGCCAACCTTCTCAAAAAAGTTATGATAACAAAAAAATAGTTTGTGGCGGAAAAAAATCGATTTTTTTGGCTTATTGTATAGATATCTGTTCCGAAAATGTTCTCAAAAAATTTCAGATCCAAATTTGAAAAATTACAAGAGTTACAGGCCCTTACATGGAGCACATGTCGAACACCGACCATTGCACAGCATTTGGGCTTGTATTGAGCAGCGGCCATAAGTACTTCTAGTTCAGTTATTGTAACGAAATTTACACCAAAATTCTAAAAAAATATTTTAAATGTATATTAAAAAAATTGGCCATATCGTACGTCTATATCATATAGCTGCTATAGGAACGATAGGAAAGAAATAAGTATATAGTATGAAAAACGTTTTTGTTTTTCAAGAAATGTAAACCAAACTTACAGATTGTATGCCTGAACCAGTTTTAGTGAATTTCAATGAAATAAATAAATAAAAATATTTCAAAAAACATTACAAACACGAGCGACGAGGACAAAACAAAAGCAAAATAAGGAAAAACTGTCCCTTGGCAAACGATAGATGGCATCAGTATTTTCCCGATTATATAAACATCTGCAAATTTCTGCAGCTGATTTTAGGCATATAGTACCCTAAAAGTCAGACGAACACATTAACATACATACTATTTGTGGGAAAACGTGGCATCACAACTAAAACTTTAACTAAACATGAAAAAGACGTTCACAAAATAGTCAAAAAAGGGTTAATCGATCTAAAATACACAAATAAAATGTAATTAGTCAGATAAATTTCTTAAAACCAATTTTTTAAAGATAATACCTTCAACTTTAAAATGCATTTTAAATAATTAAATTTGGTGAATTTTTGAGAACGTCCGACCACTTTGAACTTCACTTTTGTTTTCACGAAAAGCACTAAAACGCAGCTGCAGCAGCAAAATTGAAGACGTGTTCGCACTTTGCAATATATTTTTAGAATGTCCCGTTAGATTTCAGGAAAAAACTAGCTTGCAATGACAAAATATGGATAATTTAGAGACAAATTCTTAACATTTTGACTAATTATTTTAAAGTCGATTTTTCGATTTATGGCCTATGGGCGCAACCACTGTGCAATCTCAATTCGGAGTTTCCCGGGAGAAGGGTGTGTGTGCTCACCAGGATGCCAGGATACCAGGATACCAGGATACCAGGACCTCGGAACTCTGGATTTTCGGGACTGCTCCGGGCTCTTTGGGTTCCTTGGGCACTCCGGGTAACCCGGTTGACATGGCCGCATCGTTCGGACAATCAGGGAGCCATCATTGTCCGCTGTCGACCGAACTGCCCCACGTCCATTCCATTCGCATCCCAGTACCCCCCTTGCTCCTTTTATTTCTTGCAATCAGAAACTCATCATGGCCTATTGATGATTTTTTTCCGTTGAGCCTCTGCTCTTTTTTTTTCTGCTTCTGTTTCTGCTCGGTTCTTGTTGGGTTTTGTGTGTTTTTGCCTTTTCTACGAGTCCCAGAGAATAATGTTTGTTGGCTGTTGGCTGCTGCTGCCAATGTTGTTGGCCTTGATGCCTGTCCCGAGTTCTGGTAATTTATTGGAATTTGCCAAAAGGATTAAGTACGCCAATAAGCGTTGCTCAACGTCAATGAGCGCGTGAGCTGCTTCTGCTTCTTCTTCTACTCCCCCCTGCTTTTCCTCCTTCCTTTCGTCCTTCAGCCTTTTTTCCACTCGCTTTCCTTTTCGTTTTCGTTTTAGTCCTGGCAGCGGAATGAGCAACATCAGACGGCATCATCATCGTTCCCGCCGGCCATTTTCAGCCCTTTCGTCTGTTTCCGCTTCCGCTCCGACTTCCGGTTTGCTGTGTGCACTTCTGTGTAGGTGTGTGTGTGTAAGCGGCTCACTTCGTTGCCAAAAAAATAAAAGAATGAGGAACTGATAAACGCAGCGCGTGTCGAATGCCAGCCTGATTTGTTTGGCTTAATATTTCAATTTCGGTGAGCCATCCTTATACTACATCAAGTATACAAATTAAGGGCCCTCAAGATTAAACTATTGTTTTGGGCCTTTTATAGTTTATTTGGCTTATTTTGTACATTTTTTACTAATATAATATTTCATCTTCAGTAGCCTCTTAAGTAGATTACTAAAATGATTAATATTTTTTTATTTGAAACACTTTCATTATGAAAAGTTTCTTCCCAGCCATATAGGTTATGTTGCTAGATATAAAGTTCAGAACTATTCAATTACGTTCTTTATAAAACCGCACAGATATTTTTTACTTTTACTTTTCCAACAATGTTTTGTCATAACATCATTTTAGTGGATAACACTTAATCAAGTTTATGGCAGGTTAATCATAAGTTGGCAGTGATTTCATCCTAATCACCGGACATCACTCACTCGATGTTTATCTCCTGATTCGGTCACTTTGTACTGGAGTAACTCAATGAACTGGGCGGACAGGCAATCCCAAAGACAGAACCCAAAATGACCACAGTGCCGGGGAACCAAGTCATCCAAGACCTGAAGTTCCTCGTCACGTTGTGCTTTATCACTTTATTTGGAGCCGACTCGCCTGATTATCCATCATCCGGCAAGGAGTCTCCATCCTCATCATCATCATCGTGATTGTCATCATCATCTTTGTTGGGAACGACCTTCAGTTTCAGCTCGGCATCTTCAGTTCGTTCGAGTAACCCTAATGGAAAGTATATAAAACACAATTTGTTTTCATTTTGTGCCCTTGCCGCCGAAGCGACTATCCCGACTTTCACGACTTTTCCCGACTTTTCCGACTGGCAGCCCGCTGGCCTCGAGTTTTCAGCGCCTTATCCTGCGGATCCTGTACTTCCATCCCTCCAATCCTCCATGCATTCAGTATTCTGTCAGCTTAACCGCTGCCACTTGCCATTGTTGGCTGTTTATTTTGGTAGCCGGGCGCTTGCCAAAAACTTTTCCACATGCCACGCCCAGACGCCCACGTTACCGCCTCCCCCTCTTCTGCCTCTTCTTCTTCTTTCTCCACCTCCAGCTCCCCCACTTTCTTCCCCCCAATAGACTGCCGTAGGGCCACTAAACAACAGATAGACTAAACGGGACAAAAAACACTGTAGGTATACATTAAGATATATACACACAGATATGCACCGCAAAAAAAATATAGTTCGATTTTTTTTAGGTTTATCTATGAATAAAAAATGCATAGATTTATTATAACTTCATTACTGGTTTCTGTGTGTTTTGATTTTAAAACGTAATTACAATTATTTATTCATAACTAAGTCATGAAGAGAAAAAATAAATATCAAACTTTAACTATGGTTTTTTGTATATGCAAAAAACAAATTTAACCCAAGCACAGAATACAAAATGACAAGAAGTTTCTAAACGTATTATTCCCTTAAAATTTGTAAAATGAAATGTAAATTTCCTTTTCAATTCCGCAAATAAAATAACAACCCAAAATAGTTGCAATAACAAACGTGTTGCAAAATTAAATTGAGGATAAAGTTCCCTTGATATTTTCTAGCCGTGTTTGCCATTTATATGTAGAGAAGTTCAGCGACGAAGCTTGGTCAGAATCGGGGGGATTGAGGGGCAAAAACTTTCTATAGCCTACAAATTTTCTTTTGGCTCCAAATTGGCTGAGGGAAGAAAGTTTTACTTGCGGCTACTTTCACCGCTGCTCGGTCACCGATGTCGCAGCAAGATGGCCTAGTCCATCCTTATCCTCCTCTCCATTTCCATTGCCATTCCCCTGCCCTTTTCGCCCCCAATCCTTGTCCCCATGGCCGTCCAATCTCTGCTCATCCTGGAAAAAGGACCCTGAGCAGTGATTAGGCAATAATTCTGTGGCACGCAAACTGCGCACATATTAACCCGCCCCAGGAAATATGGCGTGTCATTGAACAACTCAATATAAACTGGGAACCAGGACCTCACTCACCCACTTTCCCACTTTCCCACTCAAGTCGCAGGACTTTTTCGGTTGTTAAGCAAATCACGTAAATTTCTTTAAACGAATTACTTTCAAATTACGGAAAATGCTCGGATCGGCTGGCTTCTCCAAGCAGGTGCTTGTGTGCTCTTTGCCTTTTGCTATTTGCTTTTTTTATTCTTTTTTTTTTTGCTAACGACAACAAAGGGAA